AGGGACGCTGAGCCCGGTTCTCAGCATTTTTGGTTCGATCACTCCGGACAGATTGTGAGGACCCTGGCCTCAATCTTATTATTGGGAATATCAGCCTTGGGTACCGGGCCCGGTTTAAAAAAAAAAAAAAAAAAAAAAAAAAAAAAAAAAAAGATCACGTTATTGATGATGAGTGTGCGGCCAATGGAAAATGTGTGCTCCACAGGCAGGTGATGCCAGCTGGGTGGGTTCCCTGTTTAGCCACGAAGTCACACATTTTCATGTTTGGGTCAATCCATTTGCTGGTTGAAGAGATTCAAATTTCAAACCACCAGCACTTCTGAGCCACTTTTGCCCGGGACTCCAAACGTCCTCGCACAGGTAAAAAAACGACGAACTGTGTGGGGCTCGTTTTGGCCGTTGCCGCCAGCCATTTGGCTCCGACTGCTGACCCCTGAAAGTCGCGGCAGCATGCAAGGCGCGTCGGAGAAAGAATGGCTGAGATGCAGATAGGTGGTTCTAAATTGGGGAAACTACGCGGGAGTCACAAAAACGAGTTATAATTGCACTACTATGGGCCAAGATACAGTTTCGAATTGCAGTTCGGGCAGCAATGTATACAACCCAGCTTTCTGGCCAGGTGTAGGGTGCTCCAAGTGCAATTGCAAACTGTATCTTGACCCCTAGTACAATTAATTCAAAAAAAAAAAAACAAAAAAAAAAAACAAACAAACAAACAAACAAACAATTATAACTCCTTTTTGTGACTCTACTGAAGTTACCCCTTTTAAATTTTAATCTGGTTCTCCAATTGCTTCCGGGTTGTCTTCGTGTTTTGTCAAGGACCACCACTCACCAGATATGGAAAAGACAAAAATATGGCAGGTGTATCTTTCCGTCTTCTTGTAGGAGACACAATCTCATTTGGCACATTTGGTGAGCGGTGGTGTAGCAAGGCCATACGGGTATCGTTGAAGCAAAGTCTGGCTTCATAGGTTTTCGTTCTCATCGTGCGCACAATGACTGCTCTTGCGTGCAAATACGCAAATGACTTCCGCTTTCTTCCAAGGGCGGCGCATCTACCTGCCATGCAAGATGGTCATAACCACCTCGAGGGCATACTTTTTAACACGCGGACTTCGTCTACTGGGCTCTGGACGTGATTGCTGTCAGATTCATCCTGGTCTGGATGCAATTGCAGTCCGATACATTTAGACAAGTCCTAGTTCCGCTAGTACTCTAGCAATGTGCAACATCAGAGTGAATCTTCCCTTAGAACATGCATGGAAATATACACCGCCATATTTTTTGTCTTTTGCGCATGTCGAGGTTTTGATTCCAAATTCACGTGGGGGTCAGCAGCAGCGGCTTCTTTTTTTTTTTTTTTTTTTTTCCAGCAGCAGCGTCTCATAAGTTGAATTCCCAGAGTTGTGCTCTTAAATTGGGTACTTCTTATCGAAAATGACTTGGGAGCCCAATTAGGATTTCCTTTTGATTCTTAGTTTGGTCTTCTGGCGCGATCTCGTCAACATCTCGTCAACATCTCGTCAACATGGGGTTGCTGATTAACTGCTCTGATGTGGTTTTCGTGATTCTCTGTGAAAAGTTCGTTCAAATGCTTTTCAACTTTACCCATGAGCATATTTCTTCATTTCTTCTTCAGTGGTCTACTCTCAACAAAATTACGATCTAAACTACGATCCGACCTTTTTTCTGCTTGAAAATCGTGACTCAAATATTGGACACCTTGGATAATTTTCGTAATCTCATTCCTAATTTCATTCTGGAACTTACTACGATCCAAATCATGACTTAATTTTCTGTCTTAATTTTCTGTCTCAATTTTTTATATTCATAAGTCTCAATTCAGATATCTTATGTGATTTTCTACATGATTTCCCACAAGATTTCTTATAATTCATCTTAATTCGTCTTAAATCTCGTCTGAAAATTTCAGCTTTACAAAAGATATTCCAGATTGCTTCTTAAGTGCTTGGTGTTTCGAGCTTTTTCAGACTTCCATCCTTCTCCATCCTGTTCTCGCTTGGTTTCCCTTGAGGAGGGGGCTGTTTGTGGGGGTTATGACAGCAAGATGGGGGGAAAAGGACGCGCTCTGAGGGAAGGGACTAACTGCAGAGTGGAAATAGGGTAAAGCAGGAAGGGAGATGGTGGCTTCACTGCTGTAAGTCTTACCGGAGTAAGGTTGGACAAGCTTGGGAGGTGGGTGCTATCAGCCCCCTTTTTCAGGTGAACTTTACCTACCGAGGTCCTTCTTTCATATGGAGCGTTGTTTTTTTTTACGTTCGTCTATGGATAGATTGGAGTTCTCGCTCTAAGAGGGCTGTGGGGTAAGAGGTGGGAAGGGGGGGTGCAACAGAGGGGAGATCATGGGTGTTGTGAGTAGGTCTCAGAAGGAAGGGGCTGGGACGACGCAGGCCGGTGCTGGAGTATTCTGCTCTGTGACCTGAGAGGAGCACGAGGTTTGGGGAGTTCTGTCGAGGGAGGAAGACAGAACTAGCACTTTCGACGTGGCTGTAGCCGGGGTTTTATCCCTGTCACCTTTGGGGCGTGCGGCTATCGGGAGTTGCCGAGGGAGAAAGGCACTCCTTACCATCTACACTAGGTTGGTCGGTACCGGGGCTTGGTAGTGCCCTGTAAGTCTAGCATGGGAGGGTATGAGACCAGTCGTGTGTTGGATCGAGGACTGAATATAAGACCTGTTGTTTCTTCAATACTTGTGGGGAGGGCGAGATTCTGTTGGTTGTGCAGTTCCTACTAAAAGCTTTCTGTCGGAGGGTCTTAAGAGTGCTAACTGCCATTTCGTCAAAATGGACATCTTTTATTTTTTGAACGAAATTGAAACTGAGTTTTTTGGCCGAAAACTCGTCAAAATTTGTTGTTCCCGAGGGTCCAGCGTTTTACAAACGCTGGACCTTCAGGAACAGCAAATTTTGACGACTTTTCGGCCAAAAAACTCAGTTTCAATTTCGCTCAAAAAATAAAAAATGTCCATTTTGACAAAATGGTCGTTTGCTTAGGATTCTGGGACTTCTAGCAACCCCTTTGGGGTAACTTTGATATTGCTACACTTGCTGATCTGCGGCTGTTTCGATGCCAGAACGATGCTGGCCGGTGCTGGGGTGTTGCCCTGTAATCTGTTGATGCAGGAGCGTGAGGCCTAGTGAAGTCTGGGGATGCTGTGGGGTGGGCATCTTATGGGACAGCCAAGGATTGCTGTAGGGACGACTCTGGCCGGAGTTGGGGTGAGTTGTGTTGCCCTGTAACCCAGCTGTAGTGGGGGCGCGAGGCCTGGAAGAGCTCGGCAGAGAGTAAGGCGTTTTGGAGGGATTCTGGAGGGTTGGTTAGGGAGTTCCAGGGTTTGCAAGCCTTGTTTTATTTTCGGCGGTTTTATTTTTCATACCTCACCCCCTTTTATGCTTTATCCAAACTCTTTGGTTTTCCGATTCTGTGGTAGCATCTAGCTTTCGTATATGTCTGGGATAGAGAAGTTCAGAGAAGGTCGAGCTGGGACTGATATCCGCAGAGTTGCTCTGTCCTGTGCCCCTGGTTTGCCGATGCCGGAACGACGCTGGCCGGAGCTGGGGTGCTGCCCTGTAACCTGCATTTGCAGGAGCGTGAGGTCTTGTAGAGAGATCCGGGTTTTGCCGAGGGAGGAAGGTAATTCAGTGGTAAACTGGGGGGGGCTGCTAGGCGGCGAGAAGAGAGTAACTATGGGTGACTTTGGTTTGGGGGGGATTGTCTCTGAGTTTTTTTAGACCTAGTTCAAGGAAGGTTAGGAGTTACACTGGGTCAGGAAGCCAGAATAGCTGATGTAGCATAGCCTACTACATAGGCAAAAACATTATTAGTATCACCTTCATGGTCACCCTCTTTTTATCTCCTATGTTCTATAGGTCTGCTGGTGGTTCATGGTTGCCAACGAAGGTCTTAAGAATGTCTTAGGAATCTGGGGACCTCTAATGACTCAGCCTAGATAATCTATTGCTGATGTGTTCTGAGACTTGCGGAGGTTCGATGGCAGAACGACGCTGGCCGGTGCTGGGGCTTTGCCCTGTAACCTGCAGGTGCTGGAGCGTGAGGCTTGGTAAAGAGATCTGGGGAATGCTTTGGGGGGCCATTCTAAGGGACAACCAAGGGTTGCTGCTGGGACGACGCTGGTCGGAGCTGGGGTGAGTTGTGTCGCCCTGTAACTCAGCAGGGTGGGGGTGCGATGAGACCTGGAAGAGCTCAGCAGGGAGTATGTCAGTGCTGAAAGCTTAGGTGGGTTGCTAGGGTCCCGTCGATTTTTTTTTTTATAGCATTTGAGGACTTTTGTGGGAGTGGTTTTAGCTGTAGCAGACTGTTGTTCTGAAGTTTGTTGGCCTGGTAATTGCCCCGGCACCTTAAACTTTCAATCCTATGTTTTCTCATTAGTACGATCCTTTCTGTCATCATAAGGGACGCTGAGCCCGGTCCTCAGCATTCTCGGTTCGTTACTCCGGGTAGACTGTGAGGACCCCGGCCTCAAAATCTTCCAAAAAAAAAAAAAAAAAAAAAAAAAAAGGGAGTATTGGAGCGAGGCCCTATGCCCTGAGTTCGGTAGAATATTTGAAATTTGAACAGCTTCTGCGCAAACAAAGACCGCTGAGATGTGAATTCCACATCCTCTTGCATAGTTTTTTTTTTTTTTTTTTTTTTTTTTTT